AAAATGGCGGAACGACACGCGCCCACGGTAATTGAAATTTTATTGCCATCCTTGTAAAAAGATCTCGAGAATCCGGGAAAGAATCGGGGGCTCGAAACTCGAATCGAGAGAGCCGATTATTTCCGACTCGACGAGCATATCTCTCTCTCTTTCTCTCTCTCTAACCTAAACTGACCAAGTCTAAGAATATTTGAGGGAGAAAAGAATAGATAAGAAGAGGAATGGAAAAATTTTTCGTTCGAGGTTTTGTTTCTCAGTGGTCGTCTCTTTGAAAAAACGAAAATGAAGAATGGAAAATTGGGTAAAGCGTTATTCGACAAGGTCGAGGATGAAATTTTTTTTGTCTTGCTTCTTTCCAAACAGTTATTATTATTATTACCGAATATAGAATAATTTCTCATTCTCTGGTAAGTTGTATATGTATTTACTTGTTGAGTAGAAGAATGGAACACAGTTAAATAACACAGATACTGTTATATGTTCATTCAGAATCTCTCTATCGATAAAATTTCGCCGAATTTAGAAATTAAGCCGTGGCCAGGAGCTTAAAATGGATCTGGAAAGTCGTTTCAGAACAGTCGTTAAAAAAAAAATGTGCTTTTAGAAGTCGGAAATGGGCGAAAAAGCGGCGCGAGAGGCTGACCCCTTCCCTCCCCCCCCTCCCTTCCCCGGCAGTTATTCTCACTGAAGTTTAATTGCAAAGTAATTGCGCAGGGATGAAGATTCATGGAGGTGGAATTTCACGAGTTTAAAACAACATCATTCTTAAAAAAAACTCTTCCATTCCTTTTCTCTCGCTTGTGTGTGTGTATGTATGTGTGTGTATGTGTGTATGTGTATTTTGCCAAGTTCGCTTTTCCAAGTTTCGCGATGACACTTGGTAAGGCGTGGTGGTAAACGTCGCCATAACGTTTTCCAAACATTGCGAAATATCTTAAAAATACCATTTCGTGCGCTGGAAATCTTGAATCTTTATATAATGTGTTCTTAATCATTTTGGATAAAGGAAAAGATGTATGGGATGTTTATTAAAAAATTTAAGACACTTTTGTAGAGTAGATTCTTCAAAATAAAAGTATCAATTGGGAGCTGACTCATCAAGTTGCTATCAACTTGATTGAAATAGAGATAATAGAGACAAAATATCAATTGGGAGCTGACTTATCAAGTTGCTATCAACTTGATTGAAATAGAGACAATGGAGACAAAATATCAATTGAGAGCTGACTCATCAAATTGCTATCAACTTGATTTAAATAGAGACAAAATATCAATTAGAAGCTGATTTATCAAATTGCTATCAACTTGATTGAAATAGAAACAATGGAGACAAAATATCAATTGAGAGCTGATTCATCAAATTGCTATCAACTTGATTTAAATAGAGACAAAATATCAATTGGAAGCTGATTTATCAAGTTGCTATCAACTTGATTGAAATAGAAACAATGGAGACAAAATATCAATTGGGAGCTAATTCATCAAATTGCAAACTTGATTGAAACAGAGCACAAGATAATAGAAACAAAATATCAATTGGAAGCTATAAACTTGATTGAAATAAAGATAATAGAGACAAAATATCAATTGGAAGCTATCAACTTGATTGAAATAGATCGTAATAGAGATAAAATATTAATTGGAAGCTGATTTATCAAGTTGCTATCAACTTGATTGAAATAGAGATACTGGAGACAAAATATCAATTGAGAGTTGATTCATCAAATTGCTATCAATTTGATTTAAATAGAGACAAAATATCAATTAGAAGCTGATTTACCAAGTTGCTATCAACTTAATTGAAATAAAAACAATAGAGATAAAATATCAATTGGGAGCTGATTTTCAATCAAGTCTTAAACTTGATTGAAATAGAGACAATGGAGAAAAATATTAATTGGAAGTTATCAACTTGATTGAAGTAGAGACAATGAGACACAATGAGACACAATGAGAGAAAATATCAACTGGAAGCTGTTTTATCAAGTTGTAAAATAAATAGTTGAAATAGAGCAC